ATACATGTGGAAGCGCCCCCCCCTTGACTATACAGAGCATGCTCTGATAATTGTGTTATCTCTGACACTTTGAGAGTGTGCCAGAGGTTAAATGTCTGACATTTAATTAGTTCCCAATGCATATTAATTTGACAGAACTGATTTGAAAACTTAAAAGACAAAGTTAAAGTAGGGTATATGTCAAGTGCATGAATTTTGGAGCAAAACAGTGCAAGTTTGAAGTATGAAAGTGGTAACTGTTCAGTTCTGTAAGGTGTTCAGTTCAGCTCGTGTGTCTTCTGAAGTCTGTTGCCTCCAACTATAGATAAGTTTGGAAATAGGAGGAAACTCTTCAAGGTTTCATAGGAAAATGACATGTGCAAATGGACCAGTATATTACCCAGTTCAAATGAAGTGTTTTTTTTTCAGTCTTCAGAAAATTGTTATTGATTAAATTCTCAGCCTCCTGACACTGACCATGGATGATGAAAAAGTGTTGTTCATCATTGATTCTTCTTATGATGGTTGTTAAGTTGCTAATGCAGGAGTGCCAGGGAAGGAAGCGACGCACAACATCAAAAAGAACTGAAAACCTAGTCAGTCTCTCCAGCTAGCCTCACTCCCTTAAAGAAAATCAACTCTCCCTCACCCATCAGTAATCAGCTGCCAGTAGTTCCTCAGCTGAGGTCGTGACTTCCTGCCCATTGCCCCAGTTCTCTGTGGGGTTTTTGTTTGACTGAGTTTGCACAGGTCTTGTGCATGCTGTCACCATTGCTGTAAGTTCATATGAGCAAGTTCCCAGAGACCTGAAAGACTGTTTGTTCATGCACCAAATCTGCCTCTTAGAATCTTCCCACCCCTTATTCCATTGTGCATGCTGTCACCATTGCTGTAAGTTCATATGAGCAAGTTCCCAGAGACCTGAAAGACTGTTTGTTCATGCACTAAATCTGCCTCTTAGAATCTTCCCACCCCTTTTTCCACAATGGTCCCTGAGCCATGGGTGGGTGAGATTTAATATAGGAGTCCTATCCATGGACATGCACTTTGCAGTCTCTTATTCTCTACATCTTTGCCATTTGTGGCCTTCTATGTGCATCACACACTGTTACATGAGGAAGCTTTGCTGGTGAGAGTTGAGGGATGCATTACAATTCTCTCCACCCCCTGTTCCTCTATGTTCCATGAGCCATAGGTGTAGAGGTTCCAGTGTATATGTGTCCCTTAGGGCTGGGCTTCTTTCAGTCTCTCCTCCTCCCTCCCCCAAGTCCCTAGCTGGCCTGGAACTTGCTATGTAGACTAGGCTGGTTTCCATCTCACAGAGCTCTGCCTGCCTCTGCCTCCCAATTAAAAGCATGTACCACTATGCCCAGTCCTCTTGTAAGTTTTAATGTTGTTTTGTATTTTTTGACATCTTGGTTATAATTATGTTGTACAGAGGTTCTTCTCTATGTCTCCCTCCCCCAAGTCCCTAGCTGGCCTGGAACTTGCTATGTAGACTAGGCTGGTTTCCATCTCACAGAGCTCTGCCTGCCTCTGCCTCCCAATTAAAAGCATGTACCACTATGCCCAGTCCTCTTGTAAGTTTTAATGTTGTTTTGTATTTTTTGACATCTTGGTTATAATTATGTTGTACAGAGGTTCTTCTCTATGTCTATTTTAGATTCTAAATGCCTCTTGTGTTTGGCTGTCTATTTCTTCCTCTAGGTTTGGCCACTTTTCTGCTATAGTTTGATTGACCAGAGTCTCTGTGTTTTAGTGTTTATATCATCAGTTCTTGCTTCTATCCCATAGACTTTTTGCTTTAGTATTTTGGTCTTATCCCAGCGTTCTTGGACACTCTGATCATCCTCATTTATCTATTTGCTTTTTCTTTTGATGTTTGAATGCAGTATTACCTTGATCGTGTCCTCGTCCCTTGCATTCTTTTTTCTGCCAATCAAATCTGTTGGTCAGATCCATTGATCTGTTGTGTTTTTCATGTGATTTATTAACTTCAGGCCCCTAAGTAAAAAGCCAGGTATGATATATGTGCATGCAATCCCAGCACTAGGAAGGGAGGCAGACAAGGAGGATCCTTGAGGATCGTTGGCCAGACAGTGTAGTCTGACTGTTGAGTCCTATGTCTCAGTGACAGACCCCGTCTCAAAAAGCAGGGTGTGTGGTTCCTGAGGAACCCTTAAGGTTGAGCTCTGGCCCCACGCACACATGTGTATGCACACACACACCTTCACATACATGAACATGCATACACCCACACCCAAATAAAAATAAAATGTGTTTATGTGTATGACAGCATAAACTGCCTTTTAAAATCTTTTTTTGTTGTTCTTATTTTGAAGCAGGCTTTGGCTTTGTAGACCTGGGTGGTCTGGTGCTTGGGTTAATTAGGTAACCTTGGTTTTGGTTTTTGAAATAAAGTAGTTATGTAGCTGAGTGTATTGGTTAGTTTTGTCAGCTTTACACAAACTAGAGTCCCTTGGGAAGAGGAAACTTCAATTGAGGAATTTTCCCCATCGATTGGCCTATGGCCATGTCTATGGGACATTTTCTTGTTGCTAATTAATGTAAGCAGGCTCAGCCCACTGTGGGTAGTACTATCCCTATGCAGGTTACCTTGGGCTGTATAAGAAGGTAGCTGAACATGAGTGAGAAAGTAAGCCAGTAAGCGGCATTCCTCCATGGTCTCCGCTTCAGCTCCTGCGTCTGGGTTCCTACTTTGAGTTCCTGCCTCGGCTTCCCTTGATAATGATCTATAAGCTATATGAAGAAATAAACCTTCTCCTCCCCAAGTTGCTTTTTAGTTACAGTGTTTATCCCGGTGACAGAAAGCAAACCTGGACACCAAGGGTGGCCAACTCCTGATCCTCCACCTCTGTGTCCTAAGGTACTGAGATTTGAGACCTGCACCAACATGTTTAGTTTGTTTTTCCTAATTTCTTACAGGCTCTCACAGATCTCTGTACCCATTTCTAAAGAGGATATGCCAGTAAATAACTTCAGCTCCTTTGTAGCAGCTGAAGTAAAGGTGGTTACAGTTTTTTCCTTATACATTTTTCTCTTCAAGGCTGCCGTTTAGTTTTTAACTATCATGTTCCTCTCTTCCTGGCTAGGCTCATAAATCTACTGTATGGCAAGTTCGACACCTGCCACAGAACAGAGAGCTCTTTCTGACAGCTGGAGGTGCCGGGAGCCTTCACCTCTGGAAGTAGTAAGTCTCTGCCACTGTCTGCTTCTCCTTTTTGAGTTACCTGTGGGTGTAAAGTAGCAGATGACATTTTTGTCTTCTTCCTTCTTTGATTTTTGATTTAATTAATTTTGATACGGTTTCAACTTTCAGGGTGTTATGTAACTGATTTTTTTCTAAACATTTTCTTTTACTAATGTGTTTATTTTACATTTAGTAAATATATTTTATCATAGTTATGTCTTCTTTATATTAGAACAACTTAGATATAAATAGGCTCACACCTATAATCCCAGCACTGAGACAGAAGGATTACCATGAGTTTAAGACCAGCCTGGACTACATAATGAGTTCTAGATCAGCCTAGGCTACAAAGTAAGACCCTTTCTCAAAGAGAAACCAAAAAAGGAAAGTGGGGGAGAGAGAAGAGATCGAGAGAGAGAGAGAGATCTTTTGTTAGTTTTCTCTTTAATTTGATACAGGACTTTATCTTCTAGTGATTACCTTGGGAAGGTAGCAAAAGCAGAATTCTTAGGTTTAGATAATTGGTTTTCCTAAATTCATTGTGGTAGAAACAAAACCAGGCTGAGGCTTCTGATTGGTCTCCAGATGAAGCCTCACCACTGAATTTGTTTTCTCTGTACCTAGACAGAATCATTTACTATGGAAGTTGTTACCATGAACCTTGTTTTGTGACTCCTGAAGGTTCCAAGGTACTAGATACTAAGTCAGCTGCCAGCTCAGCAGGTCTGATAGGAATTGGAAGTCTGAAAAGTTGAACAACAAGAATCTTTCTCTAAGCATTTCTCAGAAAAAGCAAGTTCACTGTTGAAATATTTTTAAATTAATGTTTGATTACCAGTGTAAAAAGAAAAAGTCCATCTTTAATATGTCTGGGGACTTTGACATTTATAAAAATCCTTTTCTATTTCTTAGCTCTTTTTAGAAGCTGGATGGGGTTCTGAAAAACAGGACTGCAGTTGGAAAGTACTTGTTAGAGTATTTAAGGTATTAAATGACAAAAAATTTGAGCGTGAATACTTTTGATGAAAACAATATAATTGAAACCTCTTAATATGCTGCAACTTCACATCATTGAAAGTTGTGGTTTCTATGAGTACAAAGCAGTAGAAAAGTTTTAGGTGTTCTGGTAGGATGTTGGGTACGTAGATGATTTTGTGATTTACCTTTCCATGGTTCTGATCCGGTCTCTACCTCAGGTTGGGCTTTGCCAGTCTCATTAGCTAAGCCATGTGTGCACCTCACAGTTTCCCTAATGAGCAGATTCTTCACTGCTTAAAGAGCCAGGACCAGTTTTCTTTGTAATCCACACATACGCACTTCTACAGCTAGAATTTTACTTTAAGTCAATAAAGTAGGTTTAATACAATTAGAAATTTTCAGTTTATTTTTTTGGTTTCCCACACACACCCAAATTAATCACTATATCCATCTGTGTGTGCAACTGCGTGTGTGTGCATGTGTGTGTGTGTGTCTGTCCACACAAATGCGTGCATGTGGAGATCCACAGCTGATGTCAGATGTCTTTCTTGATTGCTTTCTACTTTATTGAGGTAGAGTCCCTTGTTAAACCTGGAGCTCACTGATTCTGGCTACTCTAACGAGCCAGTTTGCCCTGGGGATGCCCTCTCCTATTGCCTCCCACATGCTGAGATTACAGTCCTCCTGAACCTTCATCCACCCAGCCATCTCCCCAGTCCCTGAGGTTTATCTTAATCTGAGCATTAGTCCTTAGCATAAAAAATGATTATGTAATCTTCAAATTGGTTTGAAGACTTGCTGTAAAGTGCCAACAAAGAGAATTGCCTTAAATAAAATGCTGTTGAGCCCATTTACCTTGATGATAAGACAAATTGTAAAGATAGTTCTTCAGAATTTGTAAGAAACAAGTTTTGTTTTGTTTTGTTTTTAATCTTTGAGATACATAAGTTTTTAAAACTTCAGTAGATAATATGGAGGGGTTAGAACAATATTTTACGTTATATTTTAAATAGTAGCTGTAGACTTTGCCAAGAGATGTGGGGGAAAATACATATTAAGCTATTCAAATCTGAATATTTTGTTCCTTTTAAGTAAAATAGTTGTTGGGTCTGAGTGGAAGAGAAAATGGGTTTTCTAACTATAGCTTCTCCCTCCATTTCTACTGTGTCTCATTGCTTTGTGCCTTTTAGACTTTTGACCTGGCTTTTGTTTTTTAGCATTTATGAGTAAAAGTAGTGTTGTAATTGATGTCTAGTAGAGTTTGAAAGGCCTTGTGAGGAGTATACCTCAGTGTTTCAGTAGAATACATTTCCACAGGAAGGTTAATTTCTTTTGCCCACCTCTCACATCTATACCAAGTATTATTTAGTTGCCAGCCTTTAGCTCTTCTTAGTTTAAAATTTCATATTTTCAGCTAAAAAAAATGAAATGTTCCCAGAAATGTTTTTCTCTCTCTCCTCCCCCGCCCACCACACACACATGCACACACTTTTTTTTCCTCACCATATAACACTGACTAGCCTGGAACTTGCTGTGTAGACCAGGCTGCCCTGAGATCTGCCTGCCCTTGTCTCCCAAGTGCTGGAACTAAAGGTATCCACCACCATGCCCAGCTCCTCGCTTTTCTCCTTTTTTTAAAAACAAATTATTTCTATTTTATGTGTATGAATATATTGCCTGCATGTGTGTAAGTGTTCCCATGTTGTGCAGTACCCACAGAGGAAAGAAGAGAGTGTCAGATCCCCTGGCACTGGAGCTAAGGACGGTTGTTAGCCACCATGTCGGTGTTGGGATTCAAACCCTGGTCTTCTGCAAGAACAGCCAGTACTTTTAGCTGCTGAGCCATCTCTCCAGCCCCTGCTTTTCTCTTTCTTGAAAACAATGGTATTTAAAATCTCAGTAGCATCTTCGCATTGGGTGGTGCACAAAACAGACTGGATCTGAACAGCTTGCTCTGGGTTCAGGTGTTTACCAGGTTTTTTTTTTTTCAGAAGTGTTTAACTGAGGCTCTATAAATGCTTACAGCCTTTGCCTTTGTGTATGCTGTCTGCTTATGGTGTCTAACAATCCAAATTTCATTAAGAATTACAGTAAAAAATTATGGAGAGCACAAGTCAATTAATTTAAAAAAGATAGATTAACCTGTAACTTTGCATTAAAAAGAAATAAAAGCAAGCTAAATAGAAGTGATGTTTAGAAGTTTTCAATAAAAGTAACCATTACTGTGAGATGGTGTCTTTCCTTGCATGAGGTCAGTATTGGAAAGTCTGTAAGTATCTGCTAGTTGTATTAATGAATGAGAAAAAGTCACTGAAGTTTATGTATAAAAATTAAACAGTGAATGCTGTTGATCTCTTACCACTTTGATCTTGTTTTTAGTGAATACCCTACTCAGCGGTCAAAGAAAGACTCTGAGGGAGTAGAGATGGGAGTTGCTGGTTCTGTCAGCCTGCTGCAGAATGTGACGTTGTCTACTCAGCCGATTTCAAGTTTGGACTGGAGCCCTGACAAAAGGGGGCTCTGTATCTGTAGTTCCTTTGACCAGATGGTGCGAGTGCTGATTGTTACAAAGCTCCAGACCATATGATCCAAGATTTTGAACTTGAAAATTTCCAGGGGGATACCCATAGGATTTCAGATGTGGTCTGGGATCCTCTGGCCTCACTGAACGAAGTTGGATTTGAGTGGTGAATGAAGAACGAGCCCAGGCACAAACCCAGCCAACCTCCAGCTTCTCTGGCTATTCCGTGGCCTAACTGGTATGCTGCTGCACCCGGGAGGTGATATATACAAGGAACAACTTTGTTCCTTTCTCCCACATTTCTACTAAAAACTCGGGAGCCAGGTGCTATGGCATTTGCCTATAATCCCAGCTACGTAGTGGGCTGAGTCAGGAAGATCACTTTAGCTCACAAGTTTGAGACTAGCTTAAGCAACATACTGAGACCTTACCTTTAAAAAACAGCTAAGGGCTGGAGAGATGACTCAGTGATTAAGAGTACTTGCTGCTCTTGCTGAAGATCTGAGTTTGATTTCCAGCATTTCATGTCCAGTGGCTCACAATCACCTGTAACTCCAGTACCAGGAGATCCAATACCTTTTTCCGGCCTCTGGGCAGCTGCACACACATGTCACACATACACATGCACATACACATTTTTTTTTTAATTTAAAAATTGAAATTTACAAAACCAAAATCAATAGTTATTTAAATATTTTGTTTATTCTTATTGTACCCTTACATTTGTATTGCATTTTACTTCTCACGTGGTAGGAATCACTTCATTAGGTTGTAACATACCACAATGGCATTGGTAGACTTGAAAGATGGAAAATTTAACTGTTTCCAGCAATGTAGCTAATAAATTCTATGACAACAGTCTCGTTTTTACTTAAAATATAGGAATTAGTGAGACTTGGTTGTTTGGCTGTGATAAGTGACGATGAGATACTGAAGACTGGGTGAGTTCTTTCAACCCTTTTGTCAAACCTTTTAAATATATTTTAAAATAAACTTCTGTTTTTAAAGTCTATGGAAACTTTGATTCTCTTAATAATAGTAATAAAATCAATACTTTCATATTGTCTTTGCTTTATAAATTCTTAATAAGTACCTTTTAGGTCACTGTTCTTTATTGTTCCCCACATCCTTGGGTAAGCCTAGGGAGGGACTGACTTGATATACTTTCATTAAGCCTTCTGTTCCCTCCTCCTCCATTCAAAAGGACAGAGCCACCTAAAACATTCGTAATATATAAAACTCACCTTATTTCAGGGGTTGTGGTGGTTTGAATGACGAATGTCCCCCTGTCATAGGCTCCAAGTGTTTGACCAGTTTGTCAGTTGGTGACACTGTTTGGGTGGGGAGAGGTCATGGAACCTTTAGGGGGTATGGCCTAACTGGAGGAAGCATGTCACTGGGGGAAGGCTTTGAGAGTTCCTAGCCTGCCTCACTTTCAGTTTGCTCTCTGCTGCCTGTGCCTACTTGAAGATGTAAGCGCTTATCTTTCTGCTCCAGCCACCTCTTGCTGTGTCTCCCCCACCATTATGGACTCTCAATCCTCTGGACTCCTCCTTCTCTAAGTTGCTTTAGTCATGGTGATTTACCACAGCATCAGGAAAGTAACTAATACAGGGGTTAATAGAGCCATTTGTTTGGACTGTAAAGTTTAGAAAATTAACTCTGTTCCAAAAATGATATCTAGAACAATACCATGTGGGGCTGAGATGTCTCAGTGGGTAAAATGATTGCTGTACAAGCATGAAAACCTGAGTGCTGATGAAGACACTCAGGTTTGACCTCTGGCATACACAGATACTTTGAAAGAACAATGTGGTAAACATAATTATGAAAATATATAATACCAAGCAAGATGCACAGAGGAACACCCATATAGACATGGTTAAATTAGGAGTCCTTTATTAATAGCCAGCAGTCAGCTAATGCCGAAAAGACCCCAAGGAGAAATAGGACAGGGTTTAATAAAGCTTGAAACTGCAGTTACATCATGTCAGGCCTCAGAGTTTTGAAACAGTGGCCTCCATGGAGATGCAGGCATAGCTGGGAGGAAGGATGTACTCTCTGGACGTGCTATCTGGCTAAGTTTCCCAGTATTGTGAAAGCAGTGTACACCCTGAAAGTACCTGCATAAGACTTTCTGCCTGGCTGGCTGCAGTTGGGAATCACTGGGCAAAAACACAGGGCAAAGCAAAAGTCAGCTAGAACAATGGAGTTAGTTTTGTCATTTCAAGTAAAAATAAAATAGACCAGCTGAGTGTGGTTGCACACGCCTGTAGTCCCAGCACTTAGGAGGCAGAGGCAGGTGGATCTCTGTGAGTTCAAGGCCAGCCTGGTCTGCATATGAGTTCCAGGACAGCTAGAATAAATAAAATAGACCTTTAAAAATTGTTTTGGTTATTTTCCCAATATTCCAAGAAAAAATGGAAAATCTCCCTTAGAACATTTGTATTTGTGGGATAGAGAGGTTTAAGTAGAACAATTAACATACGTATTTCATTAAATCTAAGATGTCATAGAGTATAAAATTGTATCATGGGGGAAACTGCCACCAATGAAACAGAACACTTTCTTGTCAGTGTCTGTTTTATATCAATACTTACGGCATTTGTCTCAAGGCTTCACATGTACTAATCCCTGAATGTTCTTTTAAATGCAATTAGACATTTGTGTTATATTTTGTGTCTTTTTATTGTTATGCAATCTTAAGGAAAATGTGGAAAAATAACTCGGTATAGTAGTCCTCATATTTCTTACTTAGTTTTATTTTTTAAGCCAGATTGGCCTTGAAATAGCATGCATGCTATGCATCTGTCTTCACATTTCCTGCCCCCAATCTATAGCAGACATTGATCATGATACTCAGTTTCCCTAGGCCTCACAGGTTTGAGCTCACTGTGCTAGAAGACCTTTACAGCTGTTGGCAGATGAGATCAAACCTGTTCTAAGTCTAGAGAACAATGCCTGATGGAGACCCGCTAGCATCTAGCAATGCTTTTTAAGAGACGGGTTGTTTATTTTTATTCAGGAAGCTACATCCCTGGATGTCTGATCTCATTGTGTTGGGTATGCGGCCTGAAACCTCAGCCTGGATACAGAAATGTTTATTAATGAGTACCATACAGAGGGAGCAGGGGCATGTCATCCTTGCCACACCAGGGCCATCAGTGCATGTGTTTTGCATTAAACATCAAGCTTGAATTAAAGGGCAGGAGTTTTATTTTTTTCTGTTCACAAATTATAAAGATTTAGGATCAGGGGCTAGAGAAATGGCTCAGCAGTTAAGCGCACTGGCTGCTCTTGTAAAAGACCAGGTTTCAATTCCCAGCACCCTCCTCCCTCCCCCTCAGAGTCTAATTCCAAGAAATAGCTGACCACTGCACACACTGTAATTATCTTGGGCTTCTGTATCTTTGCTTGCTTGCCTAAGCAGGAACTGACTTGTTTAAGATACCCCATGACTTGTAACCCCATGACTACCCCATGATGTCTTGTGATTTTTGCCTTTAAAAGCTTTGCCTTTCTCCCTGCCAGCACTGTAGTCACAGCTTCCAAGCTGGAGCTACAGTTGGCTGGCCAGTCTAATAAATAATTTGGCTGACTGGATTCTGATGGAGTCTGAGGTGGTCTTTCCAACCAGTGGTCCTGAACTCTGTAACAGCAGAACTGATAGGATGAATTTATATTACAAAGGGTAATTATTAGATAGACACACAGTAGAGCTGGGTAGTCCAACAGTGGCTGACTGCATGCTGGAGAGGCTGAGAACCTGGTAGCTGCTCCAGTTTGCAAGGCTGGATGCCTCAGTGGTTCCAGTCTGATGCTAAAGGCCTGCAGAGCCATTGGTCTTCAGTCCATGTTGGAAGGCTGAAGAAACTGGGTTACTGTGTCAGCAAAAGATGACAACAGAGGTGGCAGCAACAAAATAGATGCAAGTGCCAACAAGGATGAAGGCAGATGGGCGAAAATAACGGTTTTTCTACCACACACACACCACACACACCTCCTGAGTCTGTTTGCTGTTCACACGTGTGAACCACTCAGGTTTAGATAACCTATCAGAGAGCTCGTCCCTGAAGAAAACTGATTCTTCCTCTCAGCAGCCAATGATTGCCTGTCACTCTTCATCTAGAGGTGGGATCTTATGAAATTTCCCCATCACATTAGCATGTCAACTATATTGTCATTATGCAGGTCTTGTTTAGGCAAGCACATTGGTGAGATTTCATGGGTATAACTTGCCTATCATGTCTGGGAAACAAAACCTAGCAGTAGGCATCTTGGTCTTCTGGCTCTTAGACTCTTTCTACTCCCTCTTCTGTGATGTTCCCTGAGCCTTAGGTATAGGGGTTGCATTATGGATGTGTCAATTAGGGCTTGGCACCCCACAGTGACTTATTTTCAGCATTTTGATTGGTTATGGGTCTCTGTAAATCACCAAATGTTTCAGAAAGAAACTTCTTTGATGAGGGGTGAGATTATCTGCTAATTTCATTATTCTTTTTTAAAAATTGTGTTTATTTTATTTATTGCTTCCATGTATGTAAGGGCACCCATGTCATGCAATGCCCACAGAAAACAGAAGAGGGCATCAGATCCCCTAGAACTGGCGTTATAGAGGGTTGTTAGCCACCATGTAAGTGATGAGATTTGAACCTGAAATCTTCTGCAAGAGCAGTCATTGCTCTTAACTGCTGAGCCATCTCTCCAGCCCCCATTTCATTTTTCTTCCTTTTTTAAATTTAGTAACCCATCAAGTTCAATTTGTAACTCATGCATTTATTGACACTGTCTGGAACTTGGTTCCCAGTGCCCCTTCTTCATCTTTCAGTGAAACTAGTACAGACAAGACACAGGTATCCCGCTTGATCCCACTTGTTCTCCACCCCATATTTATTTTTACTTTTTTTTTTTTTTTGAGGCAGGGTCTCCCTGTAGCCCCCGCTGTCCTGGAACTCTCTATGTCAACAGGCTGACCTTGAACTCATAGAGCTCCACCTGCCTCTGCCTCCTGAGTGCTGGAATTAAAGGTGTGTGCCACCATGCCTGGCTTTTCTTCACTTTTGAACATGTTTTTTGTGTGTATACAGTCAGTGGAAGCCCCGCTCAATAGAAAATATGAAAGGAAAATTCCCCCTAAAAACTTGGATTGACTTTCTAGCTTACATTTCTTTTCTTGAGAAATTATTTTTATTTCATAATTTATTTCAAAATCCTAAATACTTGTTCCAACTAGGACAATCCAAGACAGTCCCAGGGCATACTGCCTGTGGTCGGTAATGTTCACATTTCACACCTTTCACTACAAAAAGAAAGTGGATTGTTTTCCACATGTAGCTAGGAAAATCTGCACTGTTTAATTCCCAGGAAGAATGAAAAATTGAAACTCGAGAAATACATTATCTGAAAAAGGATATCTCCCTAAAATATGACTATGAAAAAATCATTTTGTATATAACACTGCACAGCACAGCTATGCTCTGTACAGTGAGTTTATTATCCAAAAGATGTATCATGGCATTGTATAGACAACCAGATTTTTAGCACTATGAAAGTTTTCTTTCTGGGCAAAAGATTTGGCTTTAAAAAACAACACGGGATTGTTCTGCAAAATAAAAATATTTACCTTCTCCTCCAACCTCCCATTGACTTTGCTAGTTCTGCGTTTTACAAAGTCTCCTCAATTAAAGACTTCACAGCACCGGTTGCCTTCCGGCAAGGACTGAAGCGTTTTTCCCCACTTTGCACGCTCCAGATTTGCATGGGATGAGGTCTTTTTTTTTTTTTTTTTTTTTTTAAGCCATTTCTACCCTAAAAGTTAGTAAATGGGAGTCCTCTACTTGCTCTGTGTTGAAGCTGTAGTTGACACAGCTCAGAGAAAAAACAGTTCTTCTCCCACAGGAAGCTGAAGACACTTTCCTTCTGTTTTCTTTATCACATTTTCAGCCTCATAGCAATCAGATGACAACTCTGGAAGATGCTTCAGACACTGCCCTCAATTCAGCTGTCTGGAGA